CCTGGCTGTCGTGGCCACCTGGAGAGTAAATCAGCAGATGGAAGACTTAATCTGTCTCTGTTTCTCTCTGTCTCTGTCACTCTGCTTTTCAAATAAGTAATCTTTAAAAGAAAATTGCTACCATTATTCAAGAAGAAAGGTGAAACAGATACAAGGAAGCAGCTAAGTGCAGGTGGCACCCTGGATCTGTGGGTTCTGTACCTATGGACTCGACCAACCACAGATGAAACATGGGAAGGAATTGTCTGTGCTGAACACGCATACACGTGTCATTGTCATTGATCCCTAAAGCAGTACAACTACTGACACAGCTCTTACACTGCAGTAGGTGCCACGGATGCGAAGTCTGTGGGCGGAAGTGTGTGGGTTCCCTGCAAACCCTGCACCCTGTCACGCATGGGACTTGGGCATCTGTGGACTCTGGTGTCCCCGGCGAGTCCGGGAACCAACCCCCCATGGATGTCGAGGGACCACTGTACTTACAAAAACAAAAACAAGAAACTGCCACAGAACAGTACCTCAATCAAGAGAACCAGGTAGAGAGAATGTAGGATTACAGATGTAATCAACAGACGGATAAAAACAAAATAAAACAAACCCATTTCAAAGTGGTTCTTTGAAAAGCACAATCACCTCCCCAGAACGTCAGCTTTGACAAACAGCAAGACGCGAGCAGGATTCGGAATGAGAAGGCAGACATGCCCACCGTCGAGGGAAGAGTGCAGCTGCATGGGAACCGATTCAAACGCCCAAGAGAACTGAAGGCTTTCAGAAAACCAAATGTACCGAAACTGACCTATGAAGAAATGGAAAACGTGAGTATTCCCTAGCCCAGACAGCGGGACGATGATTAAAGGCAAACCATGGAGAAAGCTCCAGAACCTCAGAGCTTGCAGCCTGCCGTCCTCTAAGCCAGGTTGCAGGACGGGCTCCTGCAGGACACAGAGCAGGCCACTCCAGGAAGACGGAGTCAGTTTAATTCTAAAATCTGATGCGGATGCTACAGAGAAAACCACAGACCCCTTTCATTTTAAAGATGCAGAGACTCAAAATCTCAGCAAAAGGACGGAGGAACCGTATCAAAAGAATGAACATACTATGTGCAAATGGCTTTTCTTCCAGGGATTATGGGTAATTCGGTATCTGGAAAGCTATCGATGTGACACATAAAAAACAAAGGAAAGGGGCCGGTGCTGTGGCTCACTTGCTCCTCTTCCAGGCCAGATCTCTGCTGCGGCCCGGGAGGGCAGTGGAGGATGGCCCAAGTGCTTGGGCCCTGCACCCGCATGGGAGACCAGGAGAAGCACCTGGCTCCTGGCTTCAGATCGGCACAGCGCCGGCCATAGTGGCCATTTGGGGAGTGAACCAATGGAAGGGAGACCTTTCTCTCTGTTTCTCCCTCTCACTGTCTATAACTCTGTCAAATAAAAAAAAAAAAAAAAAACCAATGCAGGTATCACGTTAGAAGCTGAAATGCAGTGGCCATTACTAATAGAAGTCCAAGTACCAACATGCGTGATGGGCACATTTACTGCCGGGGAGGTGCAAAACAAGCAACAGCCGGCCATTGCTTTGCACCTGTCACAGCCCTTCCCACCCCAGTGGTACCCTGGGAAGGTGACCTCAAACACGCGAATGACTGGCTCCTGGAATCCACAGGATCTCCCACAATGCACGCGGCTGTGCACGAGCACAGAACCCGAGAAGATTCATCACGGCGCTGCTCTGGGGGACAGCGTGCAAATGCACTGACAGCCACGTGAATGCTCTCCAGTACAGAACAGCTGGAAACGCTACAGAGCACTGGCACCGTACTTTAAAAATCTATTTTTAGGCGCCAGTGCAGCATAGTGGGACTCTTCTGCGGCACCAGCATCCCATATGGGCGCCGGTTCGAGTCCCGGCTGCTCCACTTCCGATCAAGCTCTCTGCTATGGCCTAGGAGAGCAGAAGAAGATGGCCCAAGTACTTGGGCTCCTGCACCCATGTGGGAGACCTGGAGGAAGCTCCTGTTTCCTGGCTTCGGATCAGCACAGCTCCAGCCATTGCAGTCAATTGAGGAATGAACCAGTGGATGGAAGACCGACCTCTCTCTCCTCCTGCCTCTCTATAACTCTGCCTTTCAAATAAATAAATCAATCCAAAAATATATACATGTATATATATATATTTAAAAGATTTATTGTTTAAGAAGCAGTGGCACAGAGAGGGCCAGAGCCAGAGCCAGACACACAGAGATGAACAGACAGAAACATGCCCCAACCCGCTGGTTCACTACCCAAATGCCTACAAGGGCCAAAGTTGGAGCCCAGGAACTCAACCAGGTCTCCCAGCCGGGTGGCAGGACTGCAATTATCTGTGCGGTCATCACTGCCTCCCACGCAGCCCGAGCTGGGGACTGAACCCAAGTACTCTGACAGGGGACAGGGGCATCCAAACTGAGGCCAAGCGCCCACTCTCACACATAAAGGATGTAGCATTTAAGAAAATAAATTAGGGGGCCCAGCACTGTGGCATAGCGGGCAAAGCCACCGTCTGCAGTGCCGGCATCCCATATGGGCGCCAGTTTGAGTCCTGGCTGTTCCACTTCCGATCCAGCTCTGCTGTGGCCTGGGAAAGCAGTGGAAGATGCCCAAGTCCTTCTCCTCTGCACCCTCCCTCACCCGTGGCACCCTCATGTGGACTTCTACCTCGCCCGTGGTAACCTCTCACATGGACCCCTCTTCTCACCCGTGGCACCCTCCCTCAGGTGGACCCCTCCCTCGCCCGGACCCCTCCCTCACCCATGGCACCCTCCCTCATGTGGACCCCTCCCTTGCCCGTGGCACCCTCCCTCATGTGGCACCCTCCCTCAGGTGGACCCCTCTCTCACCCGTAGCACCCTCCCTCAGGTGGACCCCTCCCTCGCCTGTGGCACCCTCCCTCAGGTGGACCCCTCTTCTCACCCGTGGCACCCTCCCTCAGGTGGACCCCTCCCTCGCCCGTGGCACCCTCACGTGGACCCCTCTTCTCACCCGTGGCACCCTCCCTCAGGTGGACCCTTCCCTCACCCATGGCACCCTCCCTCACGTGGACCCCTCCCTTGCCCGTGGACCCCTCCCTCGCCAGCTCCCCACCCTCCCTCCGCTATTGGCCCCATTCCCTGTGGAAGTGCAGCCATCTCTCTCCTCCCACGTAGGGCTGGAGCCCCAGGGAGCTGTCACTATCCACGCTCTTCCATCTCTCCCTGGGATCCGCGTCACCCGGCTTTCACCCCGCACCCCGCCCCATGATCCAGCAGGGGCTCCCGGGACGGCTTCCTCCCGCCCGGCTCAGCAGCAGCTTCTGGGGCTCACCGCGGGAACCTCTGCCCCGGGGTCGCCCCGACTCACTCCTCTGTTTCCTCCTCCTCCGAGCGCCACCCTGAGGGGTCTGGGCCACATCAGCACCACCCCGGAGGCAGTACCGCAGCCAGGTGGGCTCCGGGCCGGGGCGGGGGCTCCAGGGGCCTCTGCTGCTTGTACCCCACTTCCCTGGCAAGCACGGAGGCTGCACTTTATGGTGGACGTCGCACTGTGTGTGGTATTCCTCACTGGCGATGGTTCTAGAATTCAAGGAACGTCAAGAAACCAGAACACAGCGAGTCTGGGAGGTCAATAACACGTTTTATTCCACAGGAAGAGAAACGACGACTCTGGTGTGACGCCCAGACTGAGGCCTCCACACACGCGCGACTGCGACAATCACTCGTCACTGTTTCCAGAATCCTCCCACGCAGGACTGCGGTACTCGAGGCACAGGTGATTCTCAGAACACGGAGGTGGGCACCCACCAAGCAGCGAGCCAGAGGCTGCTTGCCTGTCCTCGGCTGCGCGTGGCCCGGCCCGGCGTGTGGGACGCCGCTCTTGGCGGCCTTCCCAGGGCAAGGGGGAGGCCGCGGTCCGGGCCGGCCGACTGGGCGGGGCCGGGGCCCTGGGATGGCTTTTGACGTCTCCTTACCCACATGCCCCTTACTCCACTCACTTCACTGTCACGAAAACTGCTAGAGATCATCCTAACACAGCCTCAGACAGCACTGGCTAAACACCAACATGGCATTCTGGGAGCCAGGGGCAGGGCCTGCTCCTCCCAGAGATTTGGGTTTTGTCCTGGGGAACCAGGAAGCTGCGTCCCAAGGCCCTGACACCTCACCCCGCCCGGCAGGAGGCAGCCTCCCAACACCGCCCGCCCCACCCCATTTGGTCTCTGGATCCCATTTTAACATCTGCCTCTTTTAAGACGCAAATGTCAAAGGGAGTGGTTGTGCAATCTTGGGAGCCGGGCAACTATTTAAAGAGCTGATTAAAATTAGAAGAGGCCAGGAAGAGGGCATCTGAGCTCGGGTCCTCCTGAACCACCAGCCCCTGGCAGCCCTCAGCCAGCTTCCTGCGCTCAGAGGCCCGGAGCAGACTTCCGGAGGAACACTAAACTCCTTAATCCGATAAAGAGATTTCAAGTGACCTGCCAGGAAGTGACAGAGAGTCGCTGGCCTACACAGGAGACCCTTCTTTAGATCACACAGATCAGGCAGGGGGTTATTGATGGCAAAAACCACAACCAAACTGTGGAGTGCAGGGACGGAGGCTGGCGAGGTACAGTGGGGAGAGAGAACCCGTGGCCTTTCTGCTTGGATCCTGTGTGAGCGAGCCCCCGCAGGATCATGACTGCCACTCAGTGCAAAGCCAATACCCAACCCCGACCCACCGGCCCTGCCAAAGCCAGGCTTCGCTTCTGCAATCCACGAACTTGGCGCCCAAACCTTGGCGGTCAGGAGCACTGATCCTTCCCAATACTACAGCGCTCACGCCTCACGCCGACGCTCCGGGCCCTCCGCTCGGAACGCCAGCGAACACACAGAGCGGGGAGTGGGGCACGGGCAGAGGGCAGCCTCACTCGTGTCCTGGAGGATCTGGGTCACGGGTCAGAAACACCAACGCCTTCGGCACATCCACCGAGTCATCTCAGAGCTCAGCTCCACGTGGTGAGATTGTAGAAAGTGATTATTTTATTAAAATAAAAACTTTAAAATCACAAGGTGACTCATTCATTGCAGAGTAACCCCCTCCCCCATTTATTTCTCACAGAAAAGGGAAAACACCAAAAACAAGACCCAGGGAGGAGGCGGGGCATTCAGACCAGGCTGGAATTTAAACCACAGACAAGGGCCGCTTTTGCCAAAAGCCAGTTCCATGAATAGCTCACAGACCGGCCGTTAATACTCCTATTTCATTCCCTTTTCTGAAACTCTCTCCTTCCCTGCTCTGTCCTGGTGCTGCCACCCCTGGGTCCCCCGGCCGTGGAGCTGCGCAGCCCGCCTGCGGCTGGTGCAGGGAACCAGACCAGGACTCGCTCCTCGCTTGCGGGGCCCAGGAAGTCGGCATTCGTGTTGGAATCGATTTTGTACAGCAATCCATGGGATTTTTTCTTCTAAAACAACAGAGCTTACCGATGTTTCCAACCCCTGGTAACAACCTGCCAAAGACAGACAATGCCACTCTGTGTGTGCTGGGCAGCGAGAGCAGGCAGCCCCCGAGCCACGCTCCTGCCCCGCGAGGGCCAGCTCTGCCTCCGAGGCTCCCGCCCGGGCGTCCAGAGCTGCACAGGCGGCGGGTTCAGCGCCTCGGTTTCACCGCGACTCGCTTCCCACGGTTCCTCTAGTTTGCAAACCCAGGGCATAGGGCTCTCCACCTTCTGCGAATGCCTTTCTACAGAGAGTACCCTGAATTACATGAGTGAGATTAGTGCAACGGAAGAGCCAATAGAACTTAGAGACTTTACACACGTCATGGGCCCTGTTCAGAGGCGCTCCTACCTATTTACAAACACGCAGTTGTACATATATACATGTTAACAAAATACAGGGCCGTCTAAAAATCAGACTCATCTCAGCACTTCTTTTTTATGTTATTCAACCCATATGTTTTTTTTTTTTTTTAATCACTTCCCTGTAGTCTAGCGTAACTCCCGCTGCACAGATGAACACGGCTTTCACACGCACGTTCTCCCACGGGGCTTCCTTCCCCTCCGTCTTCGCTGTCTCCCCCAAACCTTCGCTGCTGCCTCTGATCGGAGCCCGGAGTGTGGCCTCTGCTCTCCCTCTGGCCGGGTTCGCGGCGGCGGCACGGCTCCCCGGCAGCGGGGTTCTCAGGCGTCCAGCTCCAGCTGCTCTTGGTTTTCGCTGAGTCTCAGCATGAGCTGCTGTTCGTAGTACAGGCTCTTTGCATAGTTTATCTCCTGTGACAGCTTGACGGCGAGGACCTCAGATTTCACGTGGACCTGAAGAGGAGCCCAGAGTGAGTGTCCCCGTGGGGAAGCGCAGCCAGGCAGAGGCGCCAGGCAGCAGCTCCTGACCTGGGCGCCCATCAGAACAACACGGCATTCTTCTAAGAAATACAGACTCCCAGGGCCTGCTCTTGGCCAATTCTGGTTTAAGACTCTGGAATTGGTATTTGGAAAGTACTCCCCAGGTGACTGTGCCGACCCCAGGCCACCACCGCTGAGAGCCCGGATCTGCCGACCAAGGACGGGCAGTGAGCACACAGCACTGCCGCTGGATTGCAGTCGGAGTCTGGGGACGGCCAGAGGAGGAAGACAGGGCAACGAGCAGACGGCTGCGGGCTTTCTTCCCGAGCAGTGGGCAGAGGAGGAGCCGGGCAAGGCTCCCCACCACGAAGAGGGGCTTGTAGCAAGCTCACACGGAGACGCAACAGCCGGACGCTGGGCCGGGGACCCCAGGGAGCCTGTGCACACCAACCCGAATCGGAGAGTGTGCCCAGCAGAGAGGAGCAGACAGACTCCCACCTGCTATTTCTCCGTGCAGAAGGACCAGAGAAAGCGCAGGCACACTAGGGAGAAGGGTCGGGACTAGCACCTGGGCGTCACCAGACACCAAGTCAGACTGCTCTTGGGAGGGGCGGCTTCCTCACGCCTGCTCCTGCTGCTCCAGCCGCCCCTCGGAGCAGAGGCAGCGCTGCATGGGGTCTGTGGTCTAGTCGGACCACCTGGCTGGGAGTCCCAGCTCCGGGGTCAGCTGTGTAGACCTGAGTGAGTCAACTCGCCCTCGCCTTTTTACTCCTTGCCAGTCCAGTGGGTTCTGAGGTGGAACAGCAATGCCCCCGAGATGCTCGGGGACAGCCTGGCACAGAGCAGGCCCTCTGCAAGTGCCCGTTACTCAGGCGCGTTCTCATCTCCAAGTCCTGCCAGCCAAGTCCCTCCTGCCTCTGGACACTTACTGAGCATGCCAGACACTGCTTCTTTGTGCAAAACAGAAAGTTGCGGAAAGAACCAGAGAAGCCGGGGCACGCTCTGACATCTTAGGTTCAACACCTGGAACCAGAGCCCCATTTTAGGAAGGAAGAGCCGCTGTGTCCTTAGCTGCTGCCGATAGCTGGCCAGAGTAAGCACGGCTGGTGCACTGTAGCCGTGGGCGGCCGAGGCACAGCGGTGAGGAACCTGCCCAGGGGCACTCGCGGCACAGACGGAAGGCAGTGCCAGCCTGGGGGAACCCCGCCTAAAGCTCCTGCTGGGAGCGGCGCAGGGCAGAGGGCGGCAGAGCCCCCCCCGCCCCCCGAGCCCTGTGCGCCCGCCTCAGGGTGCTGGCTGGGGACTCACCATCGGCTTCTGGTGGGACGGGCCGGGGATGGACACACCACTACTTGTGTTCACTGCTTTCTTGGTCACCTGCACGTACACCTTCCCGTGCTCTTTGGAGACAAGGCAGTGGTAGAGATCGCCGTACTTGACTTCCAGGAAGATGGCCTCTCTGTCTACGTAGTCTCCGCTCTTCAGGAAGTACACTGCTTTGGAAGAGATGAGCACGCAGTAGCTGTCGGTGTTCTCCACGGCTATGAAGCTGCGAAGGGAGGGAGAAGAGCATGGACGCTGAGTGTCTCTCCCCGCGGCAGGGGGCTGCATATTCCTTGGAACGGGGCCAGCAGGAAATGGGATGGAGGCCTGCGTGGGCTGCGGGGTCCAAAGGTCTGAGCTTGAACCCAGGACCCTGCACTTACTACACCTTGGGCAGGTGTCCTAGCCCCTCCGTGCCTCAGCTTCCTCATGCGTAAGTCAGGAGGAAGAGTGACCCCCCGCCTGAGGGGGCTGCTGGGAGCCCACGTGCACCGCACCCAGCCCCTCCGTCCAGGCGCTAAGTCGGTATCAACTAGTGATGACCCCACACAGCAATGGGAACCACTTCATGTTATGAATTACATTCGTGGGCTGTGTTTCTGGTGAGCCTTTCGGACAGCTTAAGCCTTAGAGAAAACCCTAATGGTGCTTTATGGGACAAAACAGAAAGAAAGCATAATGCCTTCGAATGTTAGACTCAAGCAGCCAACGAGGAAGTTCACTGCGCAGCGTGGCGGGGTGACACCAAGCGGCGTAGGAGACACGCCCAGTGGGAAGTGGAATTAACACAGCTTTCCCAACACGCGAGCTCGGGGGACATTTGTACCCATGGGCCCACTTCCTGCCTTGGCTCTGGAGAGAAGGCCCCGAGGCTGCTCAATGCGTCCAGTGACGGGGACTCACGGGGCCACTCCCTGTCCAGAGAGCCCGGGGACACTGTCGTCTTCATTCCCCAGCTTTGAGCCACCACTTCTCAGGGCTTTAGGGTCGCTTAGAGAAAACGGAATTCCCCTTCCATGGCGCTCACAGGCTTGGAGCAGAAACTTATGCGCGGCCACTGAATGAAGAGGAGTGACCGGGGGAAACCGCAGCGGCCGCTCCCCCACCCAGCCTGGCGGCCTCCCTGTGTCTTGTGACAGCCTTTCACAATGGGGCTGCGGTCTCGAGGGACAGTGAGAAAGAACGTGGATGACAGCCAGAATACTAAGAGCTGACCAGAGACTGGCTGCCAAGCTCCAGCTTCCACACTGCACTTGCGCGGGGCCGTGGCTCCACCTGCAACTGTTCCAGGACCTGGGTCTAGGACAGCTTTGCTCCCGGGTCTGTGCTGCAAAATCCTTCAAGGGGAGACAGAACGAAGCCCGGCGTGCAGGCAAAGGCCTGCCTGCGGGTGGCCAGGCTGAGCACGCGCTGGGCATCTGCTCCCCTCTGCATGGGCAGAGCCTCTGCCCAGAACCGCACCTTGCTCTCCCCAGCCGCCCCCAGTTCCAGCTTCTCCTGGAAATTCCCCTAACCTTCCAGCCCCTCCCTGCGTGTGACTGCTTCCCTGTGCTGACCTCGCAGCACACGGCCCAACACTGCTTGTTCTTTATGTGTCTCCTGGATAAGTCTCCTGCTATGCCATAGGCCCTTCAGAGTAGGGTCCACATCTTATACCTGTGTCTCCCTGAACACTACCAAGGACCACCCTCAAAGGACTCAGCAAGTAGCTGCCTTGTTCCAGTTGCCATTTTAATCACAATTTCCCATGACAAACACTGGGGTTTACTGTTCTGTTCTAAGTAGTTGGCAAAGTCAAGAACGTCGGCTTGTAAAGGCTCAATGCCAAAATCAGAAATGCCCAGTGGCTTGCAGAGTTTGGGCCACCTGGCACAGGCTTTCTCACGGCCCACGCTGATGGCACCAGGGGGCAGCATTATCACTGAATCAGGTTGACAGCTGGGCTCTGGGTGGGCCTCGTGGGACAGTGGGGAAGCCACCATTGTGGACACCCACATCCCATCCTGGAGTGCTGGTTCCAGTCCCCAGCTGCTCTGCTGGCAATCCAGCTCCCTGATAATGCGCCTGGAAAGCCGTGGACGATGGCTCAAGTACCTGGGCCCCTGCTATCCACATGGGAGACCCAGAGTTTCTGGCTCCTGGCTTTGGCCCAGCCCAGCCCCAGCTGTTATGGGAATCTGGGGTGAACCAGGGGATGCAAGATCTCCGTCACTCTGCCTTTCAAGTAGATGAGAATAAGTAAATGGATAAATATGCTAAAAATAGGCTCCAGAGGAAGAAAGGAGGGTGCAGAGACAGAAGGACAGAAAGACGGGGGAAGCATCAGGATGCCAGCCACAACTTGCAGACTGGCCAGCTACGCTCCTGAACGTACGCACGCAAGGCAAGTGGCCTCTGCAGCTGCAATGGGTTCTCGGGAGGCTGCGAAACGGAGCACAGCAGCTGGGCGACAGCGGAGCGTGCGTGAAAAAGCCGGCCAAGATGAGGCGTTCTCCCCTCCGGTCTAGCCCTGGCCCCCACCCCAGCCCACCTGACCCTGCTGCAGCCTGTGGAAGGGGCCAGAGGAGCTGACTATGACGCACTGTCCACTCCGTGACACGCTGGCCCGCTTTAAAGCAGTCTTTCCCAGGTACCATCGGTGGCACGAGTCCTGCTGCAGGACAGGCACCTTCTGGAAGAAAAGTGGCCTTGAGCTGGGAGGCCCCTCTGCACGGCAGAGCCGTGGTGATGCAGGCACAGGCCAGGAAGGCGGCAGAGCCCCGCAGCCTGAGCGGCTGCGCCAAGTCAGCTGCCTTCACTGCGGCTCTGATGGAGAGGGCACTGCTTTGCAGCTTCCTGCACAAAGTCAGCGTGAAGATCAGCACTCACGGCTGGGAACCCCCGAAACAGAGGCGCCCGGCAGCGGCTCCGCAGGTCCTGCAGGTCTGGGCCCGGTCAGACTCAGGACCTGCCCCGGTGAGAGCGCGCGCTGGACATGCGCCTGAAGCGCCCTCAAGTCTTTTCGGATCAAAGGCACAGAGCCAAGGGCATGAGCGTGAGGGGGAGACGGGGAGACGGGGAGGCCCCGGCCGGAGCCGAGCGAGGACCCAGGGCCTGGCCCAGCAGCAGCGCTCTCCCACTCCCTCCACCAAGTCTCATCAGCATCGCGATTATTGTTACCTTTTTGTTTTTTCAAAATATGTAAACCACAGCAAAGAAAAATTTGAACAGTTCCAGACTAGGCCCTGGTCAAATGGAGATCCATCTCCAGTTTTCCCATGAAAGAGGAGAACCGAACAGGTGGTGGGAGGAGCCTGCGCATGCACAGCGCCCTCAGCCCTCTGGGGGATCTCTGTCCTCTGTCCCTCAGGGCACAGCCCCCGTCCCTCCTGGCTGCCCGCAGAACCCTCCGCTCTGGGTTCCAGGTTAAGCAGAGAGCACCCTGACCTCAGCGTGGAGGCCCAGACTGTCCATTCTTTGTAACCCGAATGGCCCGGCCCACGTGAAGAGCGACTCCTGGAAACGTGGCGGGATGACACAGAGGGGACACCGTGCAGTCTGTCTTGGACCTTCTGTTGTGCTAACTCAGGCAGGGCAAGGAACGTACACAACGCCTGGTAGCAAGCTTTAGCACTCAAACACGAGGATGAGGACTGGGAACGCTGCCTAGGCTCCCTCATGTTAGGTTGCTGGGGCCCTTTCATTGATTCTACTAGAAAAATTTTTTGTACAATCTTTAAACTGCGATGAAAAGTTTCAGTTTTAACTCTCCTCCTGGCTTTGGCGTCAGCACAACGTTTGTTCTGAGTAAAAGGAAGGCTGCACACCTGGTTAACACCCTGCTCCAAGATGACCGGCGCCAGGAACGGGGAGGCGGGCAGACTCCACAGCACGGAAGCGGGACCGCTAGCAGGAGCGCCGCCCACGAACCACAGCCAACGGTGTCCTCAGGGCACCGGCAGCTTTGCCCACAGCTGCGCTGGTTCTCTCACTCCACGCCGGTCATGCGGCAGGCCTGCCTTTGGACCAGCACGCTGCTGCCAGGCGTCTCTGCCTCTCACCTGCCAGGTGCCCTGACTGTCTAACAGGGCTCAGTGCTGCACTCCCAGGCTGCTGTGGGCCACAGCAGGGAAGCCAGCCTCCTGGACAGCGACTTTCTGCTGTTGGGAACGGGCCAGGCTAGCCCGATCCAGGCTAGCCCACCTGTCCTCTCTCAGTGGGGTAGAGAAAGGGGTGCCCCATCCACATGGCCACATGGGAAACAGCTTCAGGACAGATTCCTTGGAGACAGAATCTGCAAGTAACTCGTGCAGCCACACTACTCGGTTTCTTTCTTCTCTCCCATTATTTTATTTATTCTTTCTTTCTCAGCTCTGTATTTATACATCTTGCTCTGTTCCCTCCGCAGTTAATTCAGAATCAGAAACGTCTGCGTCATCTGGCTCCAAGAGCGTTTCCAAAAAAAGCCCCTCCCTGGCAGGCGCCCGCGCGGCCCTGTGCTGCGACAGGTGAGCTCCTGTGGACGTCCCTGTGCTGCGTCAGGTGTGAGCTCCTGTGGACGTCCCTGTGCTGCGTCAGGTGTGAGCTCTGGTGGACGTCCCTGTGCGTGTGCCCTGTGCTGCGTCAGGTGTGAGCTCTGGTGGACGTCCCTGTGCGTGTGCCCTGTGCTGCGTCAGGTGTGAGCTCTGGTGGACGTCCCTGTGCGTGTGCCCTTTGCTGCGTCAGGTGTGAGCTCTGGTGGACGTCCCTGTGCTGCGTCAGGTGTGAGCTCTGGTGGACGTCCCTGTGCTGCGTCAGGTGTGAGCTCTGGTGGACGTCCCTGTGCGTGTGCCCTGTGCTGCGTCAGGTGTGAGCTCTGGTGGACGTCCCTGTGCTGCGTCAGGTGTGAGCTCTGGTGGACGTCCCTGTGCGTGTGCCCTGTGCTGCGTAGGTGTTAGCTCTGGTGGACGTCCCTGTGGTGTGCCCTGTGCTGCGTCAGGTGTGAGCTCTGGTGGACGTCCCTGTGCTGCGTCAGGTGTGAGCTCCTGTGGACGTCCCTGTGCGTGTGCCCTGTGCTGCGTCAGGTGTGAGCTCTGGTGGACGTCCCTGTGCGTGTGCCCTGTGCTGCGTCAGGTGTGAGCTCTGGTGGACGTCCCTGTGCTGCGTCAGGTGTGAGCTCCTGTGGACGTCCCTGTGCGTGTGCCCTGTGCTGTGTCAGGTGTGAGCTCTGGTGGACGTCCCTGTGCTGCGTCAGGTGTGAGCTCTGGTGGACGTCCCTGTGCGTGTGCCCCAAGTACTGTGACTCGGGGCCTCCCAGCTGCTCTTCTTTCCTCGCCAGCTCCCTCCTCTGCTGCACACGACAGCAGCACACCCGATCCTTCTCAATTCCTCTCCTTACCGGACTCCGCATTCCATTACTGCAGATTCCGCGGACGCTGCCTCCTGAGCACCCCCACCCTGGCCTATCTCCGTCTCCACTGCCACCGCATCTCCACCTTTTCTGGACCACGCCAAGGGCCCCCTGCCTCTCCAGAGGGTTGGCTCTTTGTGGCCAGCAAGGTGACATTTTCACGTGCAGTGTGGGTGGGATCTCAGGGTGGCCTGCAGGCGTGGCGAGCTCCTAGCATGACCGCAAGGGCCAGGCCTTCCCAGTCAGCCAGGGGAAGCCTCCTCTCCTGCTCCACCACGTCTGCTCTTCCCTCTCAAACAGGAGCTGCCGCCCGCACGCCCCGCTTCGCCGGACAGGCCCCCAGCTCTTCTGCCCACGCCTCTGCCAGCACCGCGTTCGTCTCCCTCCTCTCCTCGGCACATTCCTTCTCCTCCCTCGAGGCCAGGGCCACTGTCCATAGCCTTCCCCAGCCCTCTGGGCATAAGCTGACCCTTCCCCACTGTGTCCCGTACCACTTTAGCATGCTTCCATCCCCACAGCAATCAGACGTTATGTGTATCTGCTAACACACAGTCCGCTTTCCCTGCAGAGCTGGCTCTCAGCAGGCCGGCGCTTGCACGGATTAGGGAGTCTGAGAATCGCCAGTGAAGTCACACTGTTAAGGCCAGTCGACGTGGCCAGCACACGCAACTCGGGACAAGGGGCACGTTTCACCCAGCAGTAAGCTCAAAGACCTCTCAGGGCTGGCGCTGTGGAGCAGTGGGTGAAGCCTCTGCCTGTGACACCTGCATTCCATATGAGCCTGGGTTCGAGTCTTGGCTGCCCCACTTTTGATCCAGCTCCCTGCTGATGCACCTGGGAAGGCAGCAGGGGATGGCCCAAGTACTAGGGCCCCTTCTCCCACGTGGGAGACCCGGATGGAGCTCCAGGCTCCTGGCTCTGGCCTGGCCTAGCCCCCGCCGTTGCAGCCATTTGGGGGAGTGAACCAGTGGATGGCAGAGCTCTCTCTGTTGCTTTGTCTCCTTCTGTAACTCTGACTTTCCAATAAATAAATCTTTTTTAAAATTCTCTCAGAACTTTTGATTTAACTTATTGAAGATTTAGAAAGTCATTAACTTTTATCAGAGTAGTTGGGTAATCTGTCAAGTACAAGTTTTAATTCAGTAGCATATCAAAGAATATCCAATTCCCAATATAGATATTGATAGGTTATTTCATTTTTTTTAAAAAAGATTTGTTTATTTATTGTTTATTTTGAAAGGCAGAGTTGCAGAGAGAGGGAGAGACAGACGGCGAGGCCGTCCATCCACTGGTTCACTCCCCAAATGGCCGCAATGGCCAGAGCTGGGTTGATCCGAAGCCAGGAGCCAGGAGCTTCTTCTGGGCCTCCCACATGGGTGCCGGGGCCCAAGCAGTTGAGCCATCTTCTGCTGCTTTCCCAGGTGCTTTCCAGCAGGGAGCTGGATCAGAAGTGGAGCAGCTGGGACCTGAAACAGCACCCAAGTGGGATGCTGACACTGCAGGTGGTGGCTTTACCCGCTACACCACAGTGCAGGCTCGGTAGGTTATTTCTTTTAGAAAATGGAAGCTAATGAAATCGATGCCATGCCGCAAAGGGACTGCCTTGTTCTCTGAGACAGTACATGTTACAGGTTCATGCTATCAGAATCAGCGTCATAGCGGGTGCCTGGCATCACTCCTTCTCTTGACGCAGCTTCTCAGAAAGAACAGACGAGAGACAGTGTGCTCGCAGACGAGCAAGGAAGGAGACTCTTCTCTCGACTTCATTTTTCCTGAATTCTTTCAAATATGTTAACCATGCACACGAGTTCACTTCATTAAAAACAAAAAAAAAGAAAGGATTTATTGGCCAGAGGGATTACAGGCTAATACTGTTTTGTTTTGATTTTTAATATTCTTCTGTATTTTAAACACTCTCTCATTACTGTTCCTTTCTTCATAGCTGGTAACAGGAAACCATGACCGAACTCCAGAAACCGGCCCTTGGCGCAGCCTGGGTCACAGTGAGGCTCGGGACTCCCGTGCTGGGAAGGACGGGGCCGCCCAGAGCTCCCAGCTGACACTCCCTTGGCTGAGAGGGAGTAGCAAAAGCAATGGAGGAAGTTTGTGGAAAACATTAAAATGAAGTCTCTGACCATAAATTAGGCATCAGTTGGAAAAAAATTAATTTTAATCACATAGAACTATTTTAACCTTAAGGACATCTTAACCCGGGATTCTGTTTCTAACCAAAATTCAGAGAAATGGGCAGCAATGGTAATTCTGCAACTCGCCAGAGAAATACTGGATGGATTTGAAACTGAGGCCTTTTCAGCTGGCCAGACCTTAAATTACATGTCAGTAACTATCTTTTTAATACTAATTATTTCAATAAAATGAGAAAATTAATGCAGCTGGATCTGTGAGAGAGGAGCGAAGTCGCCCGGGCACTGGGACGTGGTGGGGCTGCGCCTGCATCAGGAAGTCATTACACAACACTTCCCAGAAGTGAACCTGTGAGTCCGACTGGAAAGAAATGTGGAAGCATTTAGTTAGAACAGTAGAGCGAGGCATTCAAGACCCTTTTAAGGGGTTAACTCTGCAGGGAAATATGCAAATAATTAAGTCTCTGGACATGTTTTTGATTACAAATCCAGGATCAAAGTCAGAGGCATGATTTGGTGCTCGTGCGCTTCTCTGGAAAACCCTTCCCTGCGAAGCGATGACTGCGCCGTCCACATCACCAGGAGGACGCAGGCTGACAGCCGTCCACATCACCAGGAGGACGCAGGCTGACAGCTGCGGCACTCAGACACACCTGGGCCCTCACGCTTCCTCCTCCTGCAGCGACTGGCACGCAGGCGAGAGCTGGCCAACAATTTGGCTGGAGACACAGCTTCATCTTTAAAGTCCAAGTTCTCTCACACTGGGATCTTCCTGAGTCCACGTGAGTGCCGAGTGTCACGGCGTCTATGCACGGTTTGTGCCCACCCTCCCTCCCTCCCGGTCTTCAACGGCACAGCGCACCCAGAGGCTGCTCTATACACTATCTGGAAGGCAGCTATGCTGACCTATACCACCAAGGCAGCCTCCTCGGTCATCTGGTCCACCCTTCATTCTCCCGCAAGTGAACTCTGCAAGCGCCAGGGCAGGCTTCGGCTTGAGGGGAGGAGAGTCAGGGAAGAGAAGGCAGGGCACACGCTGATTCATAATCTGACCTAACCTCTGACCAGCCTCCACGCTCAGGACATTAACAGAAATCCTAAGTGCAGCTATCTGGCTGCATCTGTCACATGCCTCTGGGACATCAGGTGTGCTGTTCTAGGCGCTGAGGGTTCTTCCATGAATGGAAGCGATGAAAATCCAAGCCCACCTGGGGCTGCGGTTCCAATGGACTATGCATCATGTCCTGCTAGACCCAAGTTTCTGACTCAAAGAACAAAAGTTCCGTCAGTAAAGGGCTGTAATGGTCAGCTATGGTACCAAATGCCTACACCGGGAGGGAGGCAGGAATATAATACCCCACCCTACCCCCCGCTGCCGCCAACTGAAACTACATGGGAATCCGGGCGGCAGAGTGAGGACTAGAGTCGCTGTCGATGCGACAGCAGATCCGTGAGTGACAGGTACTGAGGACTGAACTGTGTTCTCCCCCAAATGTAGACATGGAAGCCTGACCCCATGTGATTCTCTGGAGTAAGGAAGTAATTATGGCTAAACCAGGTTGTAAGGTTGGGGCCCTGATCCGATAGGCTAGTGTCCTTACAAGAGACACCAGAGGCTTTTCTCCCTCTCCGCCATGAGGCCATGGTGGGAAGAGGGCCCTCGCCAAGAATACAATCAACTGGCATGCTGGGGCTTCCCAGGGCCCCAGCTGGGAAAACCTGAGTTCTGTTGTGTAAGCCCCCAGTCTATGGTATCTTCTCGTGGTAACCAGAGCAGACTAAGAGAGTGAATTTATCAAGAGACACTCCAATAATGTCACAGGGTGGGCGTGAGCTACACAATCAGTTCTAGCACAATGCCATCCTGTCCATTGGACAAAAAATGCATTCTGGGTTTGATTTTGAGCTCCCCATTCAAACATGGCTACAAAAGCAGGAGACGAGGTCTACCTAGCACTGTCGCTAACAACGACACTTCACACCAACCTGAAAACCCGCCCGCACCAGACACTCTTCCCCAACCAAACGACACGCAGCGCTCACAGCTGCCTCCCCTTCCTGGTGTGCTTTCCCTTAAAGGAGACAGTTACCCACACAGTAAGTTGAACCAGCATTCTGCTTCTCACCAGATATAACTCAACTGCTTCCTCTGGGCTGGTGGCTCTCATACCTATCCAGGTTACAGAGCACTTTATGTTATTAGGATCTCTGCAGAAAATCCTAAAATAGCGAAGGTCACTTCTATCAGATCCACCAGGTACAAGCTCCCCAACTGGAATCACAAGCATGACAAGACCCCAGGCATCCCAGGCTCCATATTTAAGGAACAAAACAATCTTAAGGAAATTACATTTCTAAAATGTCCGACTACTGGTCTTTTGTTATTTATCTGTTTTATTTTGTGGCACTCAGCAGCAAACAGTAGGACATTAAAGTTTAAGAGAATTTTAGAGGGAGAAGAAACTTTTTTTTTTTTTTTTTTTGACAGGCAGAGTGGACAGTGAGAGAGAGAGACAGAGAGAAAGGTCTTCCTTTGCCGTTGGTTCACCCTCCAATGGCCGCCGCTGCAGCCGGCGCACCGCGCTGATCCGATGGCAGGAGCCAGGATCCAGGTGCTTTTCCTGGTCTCCCATGGGGTGCAGGGCCCAAGCACCTGGCCATAGCAGAGAGCTGGCCTGGAAGAGGGGCAACCGGGACAGAATCCGGCGCCCTGACCGGGACTAGAACCCGGTGTGCCGGCACCGCAAGGTGGAGGATTAGCCTATTGAGCCACGGCGCCGGCCCAGAAACTCTTAAAATTGAGAACATTTTAGTCATTATCTTCTCTCCTGGAATTAACTGGGAAGAGATTGCCATTTTCTAGAAATAACGCTCAGGCCCAGCTACCCAGCATGGAGCGCTGCTCCACCAAGCCAGGGCTGTTGACAGGCAGTTGTGTCTACACCTACAGAACACCTGGGACGGGCAATGCTTTGAGCAGTTCTGAGGTCTGAGAGTCAGGATGCTGTGACTCAGATAGGACTTCTTAGACGCAAGGCTAGAGAAGATGAGCCAGCGGACCAGCAGCGCTGGTTCCCCTGGGCGCCCACTTACAATTCGTCCTGGATGTTGTCCGTTAGCTTGAAGAGCTGCTCCTGGCCCTCTGCTTGGCTCTCAGAATAGCGGGGAAGCAGCCCCTGCGGCCCTGTGCAGCAGCGCGGTTTCCGAACCCTCTGTGCTTGGGTCCTAAATGAGTGAAGGGGCAAAAATGAAGAGGTGAAATGTTCAGGTTAAAATGACTTCCTTTCTTCACCTGGGAAAGAAAGCACAACTCAATACAAGACACACCAGCAGACTGCAGATGTAGTGACCAGAATTGAACTGCAATATTGCCCGGGGTGCACTGCAAGTCGGAGGCTGATTCTGAATCCTGACTCCTCTGCTTTCTGGCTCTGTGATAACGGGTGAGTTCACTTCATTAGCCCTAAGCTTCAGTTTCTTCTGTGAAACAAGACGGAGAAGAAGGTGACAGCCACCTCCCAGGACTGCTGTGGAGACCAAGTGAAACAATGCCCATCTGGCCTGTGCTCCGTGGAGGGTGGGCCGCCCAGCACGCAGCCCTGGCCACCGTGACCAGACTCCCACTGACTCTAGGAAGCACCTCTGAGGAGTCAACTCTGGACTTGCAATGGGGCAGGAAGAAGACTGAGGGAGAAGACTGTGAGAACACACTATGGCCTTCAGCTTTGAGCGCTGGTTAGTCAACCACGGCTAAGATCCCCTGGGGGACAACCTAAGGCAGGCACAGCTCAGTCAGTTGGGTAAAGGGTGAGGGACACAGTGAAACCATGAGGAGGAAGAAAGGCCCCACACACCCGCCCCAGGACACGGTCCAGGGTCTGCAGCAGCTCTAACTCCTGACACTCGGCTATTGGTTGCCCAAAGGAATCTGCTTTGCTATGGCTTTCAGGGCAGGCTCATGTTGTCTTTTTCCACAAACTCTACGCAGGGTAATTGATAAGTACTTTTTGGTGTTTTCCTAGAAACAGGAGTCCATATTTGTCTTGGAAAGGCTGTACATATTTCAGATGACTGATAAGAGTGTACTGGGCCTGTCCTCGGCCTTGTACTTGCTGTACTTTTTATTATTTGTTCCTGGAACCCAATGAAGCAAAACATCCCTCTCTAGACATATCTAAAAGCAATAGGCTGGACACAGAACCCGCCTTCACAACCATGTCCGAACAGCAGTGTGGAGACGGACTTACCAGGCCACGTTGGGCAGTAACAGGGGCAGGAACAGTAAGAAGCTTGCCACAGGCCGTGCAGCAGTTAGCTGCACACCAAGGTAACTGCACAGCCTGGACTCAGGACAGCACGCGCTCCCTGGGCCCTGACTCCTGAGGGACAGCCCGTGCTCGGGTGATGCTTGAGGTGTGCTGGCAAGCCCAAGTCCAGCGACAATTTCCAAAGTTCAGTTCCAGAGATGCTTTAAGTGCTATCACTTGTGTTGTTCAAGGCTGACACAGAGAGAGCGTCAACGATTCACACTGAGGGAAAGGGTAAAATCATCTACAGCGCATCCTCACACACTCCCCTCGTGCCTGGCTGCAATTCCTGCTTTAACGGATTCAGGCCTGTGTAGGCTCTTTGGAGCCTGCTGTTGACTGAACGTAACGAGCGCAGTCTAGGGAGCCTCTGTGAGCCCACTAGGGGAGAAGCTTGACAGGTGCTATTCAGGGACGCCAGCAAGGAAGCCAAGGGGGAGGAGCTTGGTGTTTCTTTCTGAGTGGCAGAGCCCTGTCCTCGTCTCCTTGGGTAGCGAGACACCTGCTGCCGTTCCGACGTTGCCTGGACTGGCCAATCAAACATGGCCTCCCCGCTCCAGCTCTCAGCCCCCAGGCTCGTGACGGAAGCCCGGCGGCTCGCCTGCGAGGGCAATGTGGGGAGGCAAGCTTCCTTTCAAGGCCAGGTTTGATTCTGACTTCTCTCACCACTTCTCCCCAACCTACTGGGAGGCCTGTAGGTTGAACTTCAATACACATTCTCAGTCCAGCCTTTTCTTTCCTCTCTGCCTTAACTAGCGAATGATCCGCGGATTTGTGATGCGTTATTCACTAGCCCCCACAGCCTCCTCACTCACTCTCTCTACTTCCGTCCTCACCCACGTTCCTCACAGTAATGAGAATGGCTGTGGGAAAACATAGCCGAGATCGAGTCAGCCATCTGCTCAAAACACCTGTGTTTTACATCTGACTTGGATGGATATATCTACTGATTGCTTGGCCCCCCACCTAGAACAGGTGCTGGGATCCAGAATAGGTGCCTGGTTTACGGAGAAGAGAGCAATGTGAAACAGTTGACTAAATGAGTACACGCATTTGTTGGTGGGGACCAGTGCAAGTCACGTGCCATGCTCCGAAGGAGTAGTGAGAGCGGGGAGCAAGTGAGAGATTCTGAACTGTGAAAGTCAATCATCAATGCTAAGGCGAAACGCAAACCAGCTAGAATCCTGTTTTCCAGACGGAAAGCTCAGGGTATCCATCTAGTCCACTGATCAGGACAAAGGACGTGGCATGAAGGCAACGCCATGAGACTGATAGCCCTGTGGACATTCGCCTCCCCTCACGAGGAAGAACCCACTTTAGTGCTCACACCTGAGGGAAGCATGTGACCGAGGAGGAGACACTGGCTGAGGGCCCTGAATTCCTCGAGGGGAATCCACGGAAGCCAGAGAAGCCAAGCAAAGGTGCTCGTTTCTGGAACAGAGCTCTCGGGAATCGCGTTTCACAGCAAAGAGGGAGCGGCTGGGAGACGAGTAACCAGTCCCGCACGGTCAGCTGACCGAGGAGCTCCTGGGTGCAACAGGGATTTCCTGGCTCGCAGCTTCCCTCGGGCCTTCCGCGGATTTCAGTGATGCGGCCCCAGCTCCACTACCAACACGTCATCTTCTAACTTGCAAACTACAGACCCACCACCACATCAGTGAAAACACAGGCAGAGTGGCCCCACTGCAGATAAACACTGCTTCCCAGGTTTTTTCTCTTATCTGTCTTCCCGTCTTCCAAAGCCCTCCCTCACTTTGTTGTCGACCAAATATCAAGAGCGAGGTTGGATACAGCATTCAATCTTGATGCGGGAGCTCGCTGAGCCATTCAAGGCTTACTTGGACATCACCAGAGGAAAAGAGCAAAATCTGACCATAAAAGAAAGTGCAGTCTTCCCATACAGACTTCTTATAAACTTAGACATGCCCTTACTGGAAGCAGAGAGTCGGATTCAAGGAATTCTTTCCATATTTCCCTATTGCCTTATCACGGTCTATATCTGAAGAACAGTTCTTTCTTTTCTGAAACTCAGATACAATGTAAACTCTTCAGGGCCAAGGTGACAGCTTGGGGGGGGGGAGCAGTGCTTAAAGTCATTTGTGCCAATAAACGCAGATTCAATCAAAGAATCAACACCCCGGATTTAACCAAAGGATTATAAGTGTGGCCAATGTTGTGGCTCAGTGTGACACGGGCATCCCATGTTGTTTCGAGTCCCAGTTACTCTGCTTCTGATCCAGCTTCCTGCTAATGTGCCTGGGGAGGCAGCAGAAAGTGGCTCCTGCCACCAGTATGAGACCCAGATGGAGTTTCTGGCTCCCAGCTTTGACCTAGCCCAGCTCTGGCTGTTGCAGGCATTTGAGGAGCGAACCAGCAAACAGAAGAACTCTGTCTTCCTGTCACTCTGTTTTCCAAGTAAACAAATAAATCTTCTTTAAAAAAAAAAAAAGAAATATAAATCACAACAATTAGCTAGTGTTTCCAAGCCTTATAAGCCAGTCAAGTCCAAAGTGATGTTCTTCACGTCGGCTGCTGTTTCCTTCGCATGTGGAGGTAGCACTATAAATTCACAGAATCCTTTGAAACCAGTTTTACTGGAGTCACAGCAGCCCTAACCCGTTCAGTAATGCCGTGTGGCCATTTCTGAGCAACCAGGCCTAAGTCACTTGTGAGCATGTGCCAGCGAACCTATCAACACTTGCAGAAGACGTTATTCCTGGTTCGTTTGTTTTTAAGAAACACTGGGCTTCACAGCTGGACACACGGCTTATCCTCAGCCTCGAGCCTGCGGTCATCATCAACGCCTGTGTATCTGCTACAACACAATAAGCCCCGTGCACCCACCCGCACCATCACGCGGCTCCAACACTGACTGTGACACCTTTGTGCTCCCCTGCAGCCCGGCCCAGGACCTCGTCCTCTACCCGGCAGCTGTGATTCCGACCCTTGTGTTCATCATCCCCACGTGCTTCTCTTGAAGGTGTTCCATCACATTTCAGACCGTGTTTCGGTATTTTCTTGCTACAGTCTTTGGTTTTGGCTATTTTGGGATGTCACTGTCACACTGCTAAGATTCAGCCATTCCTCTGTGTGCGGTTATATTTCATTTTTTGCGCCTGCTTCATTAACAGTAGGAATAGTCCATGACTTATCCCCCTTCCTGTAGATGGCACGTGAATAACGTGCAGGTTTTGTGATTACAGACGCTGCTGCGACGAGCATCCCTGCACACACCTCCTGGTGAACTCTGAGCATACATCTAGGAGGATGTAGGATCACAGGGTATGTTCATTTATCAAGATGGCTCAAACTATTTCGAAGTGGCTGAACTCTATATTCCCTCCAACAATGTATTCATAAGGCCCCAGTAACCTAGCCACATGCAACTTAACATGCAACTAGTATAACTAGAGAACAAACCTGCATTTCTTAAGTTTTTATGTATTTATTGAGAGAGAGAGAGAGAGAAGAGAGAGGGATGAGCCAGCTAGCTAGATGGAGAGAGAGAGAAAGACAAAGACAGGATAGAGATATTGATCTTCCATCCACTGGTTCACTTCCCAAATGGCTGCAATAGCTGGACCAGGCCAGGCAGAAGCCAGGAGCCAGGAGCCAGGAGCGTCTTCCAGGTCTCCCACATAGGTGCAGGGGCCCAAGCAGTGGGCCATCCTCTGCTGCTTTCCCAGGCACACGAGTAGGGAGCTAGATCAGAAGTGGAGCAGCCAGGTCTTGAACCAGTGCCTGTGTGGGGATGCCAGTTCTGTAGGCAGAGGCTTAACCTTCTATGCCACAGTGCTGGCTCCATGACAGGGGCATCTTAATCATCAGGCAAGCACGCCTGCCCAGAACTGAATTTTTAGTTTAATTTAAACTGAAGCTGCATCTTGGACAGTGCTGGTCTAGGCTCGTAAGTTCTTG